CGTGATTATTTGCTATGCCATCTTGGTCGCCTCATTCGCCTAGCTACCAATACCACCGCGAAGCTTCACGCATGCACCAACCGACTGCGACCGCCCGTACATGCACGTTGGCGTCAATCACCGCCTGCCGGCGTGTACCTCCGTGTCGCATGTGAACTGAATATCGGTTGATGATGCTGATGGATCAAAGTAACAAAACTGGGGAATCACGCCTTCTCAGACGTCATTCCTAGAAAGTCTGAGCGCGTACCCGCAGGAAGCTGCCCCCGCATGTGAGGTCCACGTGCAGTTGGTGTTGCAGAATTTCGTCGTAAGGGTCGCGTCTTTTGCCCCACGAGTGCAGAGTCAGATAATGCCGCCACATCCCGTGCTCCGCCCACGATTTCACATCAAGCTCTTCGAGGTTGAAAATTTGCAACAAAGGCATTCGTCACCAGAATGAGCTGCGTCCACGATGCCGAGACCAGTGCTATGAAGGCAAGGCCCATCGAGTTTATCACGAGTTGCTTGCCTGCTCGCGATGCGGTTCTGCCACGCAAGCTTCTGTCATTCTCGCCTGACGCAAATTCTGCAATATGTTCACACAATGGCGTTTTGCTTGTGGTTAATACACATCTTACTTGTGCTGCGCCTGGCGTGGTGAAAATGTTTTACCCGTAGATGTGATCGCGACGGATTCTTTGATTCATTCGCTTGTGCGGTGGCGTACCTGGATGATGTTGGATGTTTCGTTCTTTCAAGCGCTTCGTCGTTGAACTGTCGTCCGGTTTTACTCTTCTAAACTTCGTTATAGTCTTCTCGATCGCCGCTGTCACGCTCGGCCAAGCAAAGTACCGGCTACATGCGTCCGAAGCGTCAACAACACGTGTACGGTTGCCACCCCAAAGGCTTGATGGCACGAACACCAAGCTAACAGCTGCCAACCGCGTCAGGCATCACATCATCCCCACACAAAAGTTTGGGTTGAGTGCACTCGCGTGGGAGAAAATCATGCACATGACTCTCCATGCAGATGATGGTACTTCGAAAGCACATGCTCATAGCCAAGCTTTTTCCAAATGAATGTGTTGGTCACACCGTGCCATGCAGAAAGACTACTCTCTGTGCTCACAGTTTCCACGAATCTTGAGGCTGCGTCCTCTGCCACAATCAGAAAACTAGATTGTCGTCGGGATCCAAGCGTACCAACTGCAGCAATTGCTTGATCTTCCTGCATGCAGACACAACACTTGCAACCTGTTGTCATAACTTCTTGGATGATGAACAGCTGCCTGCCAGTGGGACAAGTCACAGCCGAAGTCCTGAGTCAAACATGTAGTCGTGTTAGGAAGACGGCACGCAGCCCAATCGCAGAGAGCAGCACTGCATCTGGTTTGTTTGTTGCACATGCCACTTCCTCAGCAGATCAGCATGACATATCCGCCAACATCAAGCAACGGCAGTTACAAAAATAATGCCGTTAAGAACTGTCAGCCGTTGTTTGTTGTTTTCGTGCGTTCACCACCATAAACAAATGCTCAAAATGGTTACATGACGTCAATGTCGAGCATCCAGGCCATGGCCTAGGTCGAGCGTTAGATCTTCACTTACACTGCCTATGTCGAGAACAGCACTGCAAGCAAATTGCTGAAAGTGCTGGGGACGACGCACCGAGGCATTGTCGCGATGTCCGGCAACACTGCGATGCGAAACGACGCTAACTCTTCACTACATGGATCCGAACTGCGGTCGTCTTTGGGATTGCAAATGCCCTTGCATGCACCCAACTCGACGTCATCGATCATCGCAAATCCATTTCCGGGCTGCCAAACAAAACTTTTGGCGTTGTGCTGTCAAAGGCCGCACAAGGAGTGAACAAAACGATTGGGCAGGCTTGCACGGAACACGGCCCTGTGGGTCAACGGAAATATACGTTCTACACACCGTTGTGCACCAACAGACTCAACTTGCTCCAAGTTCAACATGATGTTCAATTCGGAAAATTTGATATTTCTTTCAAGCTCTGAATTCATAATGCTTTTACATTGGCAGTTTTTGCATCAGAGCTCTCAAAGCAAGATATCTGCGTACACTGAAAAGCTATGTTGCACTGTTTGGTCAGCTTGGCAAGCACACAGCAAAGCTGTGCGAACATGTGCATGTAAAAATCGGAAACCTTCAAGAAAAGAACAGTTTTCTGATTATTTTTCCATCCGCATTGGCAAACAAGAGGTTCGACAAATTAAATTGCTCAGTGAAAGTGATAAATCTGACTTGAGCATTCATGATCGAAACATGCAATGTTTTCACGCGAATTGTGTTCTCGCTGTTCCGTCTAAAGTCTTGGCTTCTGGCAGGTTGTTCTTTGATTGTAACCATCGATTTTTAATGCAAACTCAAAAAACTTTGCTTCGCATTGCAAGACATGATGAATTAAGCAACGTTTTTTGTAGAAATCCGAGAAAACAGTCGCTGCGGCTTTCTGCAGCAGCAGAATCCAGTATCCGCAATTTGATGGTTGCCAATTTTAGATGGCTCCAAAAAACAGAGTCACCGTGACCTCACCAAGTTCTTTCACGGATCTCACTGCATTCCACAAACCATGCAGTCCAGTACCAGCAATTTCGAGGCATGGCTGGCAACACAACTGGAAGCAATCCAGTTCCTCGAGTATTGCAGTAGTGAGACACTAGTGTGTTGCCCACACTCCGTGAATTCATGAACCCGGTCCACAACATACAAGTCAACCGCTCCGTAGAGCCTGCACAGATTGTAGCCGTGAAGGAAGGGATCTAGCTCGGCATAACAATCGTCCGGAAACTTTTTTACTGCCGCAACTTTGCTTTAACAGTGGCCTCTCAAACGGCTTAAACAGGTGTTCTTAAAAAGCATGAGCAACACGGAACAGGAAAAATCCTGTCAGATTGGGTTGCCCACATCTGGAGAATTTTACAAAGGCGGCCGCTATGAACGGAGCTTGTCAGGTTGGTGAAAGCGACGTTAGTTTCCGAGACCTCTAGGACCTTTGGGGCCTCTGGACCTCTTGCACACAGCACACGCTCCACAGCAATGCTTCAAATCAATAACTGGAAGCTTAGAAAGTCACACAACCCTCTGGACCGTAAATTTCTAGACTCGGTCCTGTTCTCCTTTCGAAGACTACGCCACAGACAAAGTCCTGCGCGTTCGTTCCTCAATCTGCGCATCCAGAAGCAAAGGCGGTTCTAAAAGATCCCGTGGCAAAGCTTCAAGCGTACCTGACCGCTTATAAATTCATCCGAGTCGTAGCGTGGCCAAAGCACCTCTGGAAAGACTCTCGGATGGTGTGGTGTAACTTTAACTTAAAGTCACACGTTTGTGAATGATCGTGGCTAGATGTTCAGTTTCAACCACGATTTTTAAAGCTTTTTGTGCATTATGAAGGGCCTGCAAGTGCTCTTGGTGTTGGAAGTTGTGGTGCAAGCCAGGTACAAGGCGTGTCATCGCTCATTGAGTTTTGTACCCATCCTAGCTTTGTAACCGCGGAGTCTGACCACTCTGTCTTTGTTCTTCTGGCAAGTGAATGTAGATGGGACTTCATGAGGAGGCATTGATGCAAAGAGCTTGGTCTGTTATGTGGCCGCGTTGTGCTTGCCTGCAGTGGTTTTGGAGTTTTGGAGCGACGAGTTTAGCGCACAAGTTCCATGCCTTGACCCATGTTTTTCGCTTGGAACAATTCAATGGCTCAGCATTGGATTCATTTTGCAGACAGATTGTTAGTGTCTTTTTGGACACCGATGAGCAATCCATACAAGTGTGTTGAAATCTTTGCCGAGTGCCAAGCTAGATTCCAATCAGGTTATCTTTGAAGACTTGCCTGGCGGGCCATCCAACAACCCGATGGATTTAAGTGACAATGTGAAAATGCATTTGATCTTTTAATCAATCCAGATGACCCTAAGGAATCTGCGCGGGTTGACGAAATCTTTGAAGAACCACCTGAGCACCGTCCAACACTTTAAGAACATGCTCAGTTTTCCAGGTGTGCACCACATCTTGGACAATGCAGTGAACGGCTGCGAAGTTGTGCAGGTTTTTGCGTAACTTTGAGATCCAAGACATGCTTCTGGAACGTTGCTTTGGTGGTTCTGTCCAGTTGCAGTTCAGAAAGAAGCATCGGTAATTCAAAGGAAACATCTGTTCTGGAAGGTGGGGTATTGTTGCTTTCAGTGTGCCACTTCTTTTATCTGTGGAGCCAGCTCTAAGTGGAGATGGAACAAGACTCGATATTGCAAGATGCGAATGCAAGGACGGCTGCTTGGAGGAAGTGGACAAAGCGACAGAGTCAGCTTTTTTCTGGGCATGGCTTCGGGTTGTTGATATGTTGGTTTGAGCAATCCGAAAACAACAGGCTTGAAGGCTCCGTGCCATTGGAAGTTGCTTCGGAAATCACGCAGCATGGTAAATTTCCCTCGAGCCGTTCGGAGGCGCTGGATGTCGTCCCATGCAAGGCTTGAGAGCTGCGGACTTAGCAGTGGGCACCATTTGCGACAATTCAGCAGTTGAGCTCTTGCAGGGGCTTCCAGGGAACATATCGGCAGCAGACAGAGCAGCACTACTAGCAGTTTGATGCCTCACTTGTGCCTTTACTTGGCTTTGAAGCTGACTGCTCTGGAAGAATGGCCTTGGAAGATGTGTGGTCTGGGGCACCTAGACACTGAGAGTGCACATGAGGTTCTTCGTCAGGCTCTGGCCACTCCTCATACGAGGCTTTCTGCGTTGAAAGGGCCGTTGCGTCCCTTGTGTGTTCGATGGTTGGGAGGTGAAAGCTTGTGCTGGCTGACGGCATGTCTCCATTACTGTCCCTTGTAGCTTCGCTGCGATTCATTCCGATCAATGAGAGGCCAGCAGAGGCACTGCCTCGCCAGACGAAGTTGCACGGTCGAAGTCGCCCCTGTCATTCAGTTGCTCTGATGTCATTGAAGCAAAGAATGCCCGAAATCAAGGCTTTGTTTGAAGACAGACCCCAGGCATTGCATGACATGGCACAGTTGTGTCACGAGATTCGCAACAACCGGTTGAGTGTTCATGGCGTTGGTCTGCAGAACCACTCCACCCTGCAAGGATTGAGACGCCGGAACTGTCAGCGATATCCCTTGATGGCTAAGGTGATTTATCATGCTGATGCTCCCACGTTGTATTCCAATCAGGCTCCAGAGCTTGCCATGCGTCCCGGTCCCGGTGTGAATTGCCGCGTGCACCTGCGCCCAATGATCGAGGCGACAGTGGACCTGGACCAGAGAATGGCGATGATGGCCCAGGGGACGATGATTGTGCCGGTCTTGATGCCGGCGACGACGACGACTCCGATGCAGGAAGTTCTACAGGAGGTCCCCGGGAACTTGCAGCTGTAGTGGAGAGACATGAGGGCGACACGACGGGCATTGTTCCAGTGCTGCAACGTCAGACAGCTGAGTCCAAGCTGTTGCTGCATGCACTGATGCTGAGCAGGTTATGTGGTCTTATGAAAGATGAAGATCATTTCTTTTCACTTCCATATCCTGCCAAAGCCATGCGAACCCTGGCTACTGCTTTGAGGATGGTTCAGCAGCCAGGCTATCAGCCTGGTAATGATATCAATTTGGATGCGGAACTGGGGATTCGCCCACGAAGAGGCACGGAACTGCCGATCGAGGCGACACTTGCCCACAGGAAAGAGCTTACTGTTGCAGCACGATCCACGATGTTCTTCAAGGTTGTGAGGTCCAATCCCGGGTCCCTCAAGCGGCACAAAGTGGAGAATGAGATCGGCTTCACAGCAGCCGACATCGTCGTGGCACCTCGCAGGCTGTGTTGCATCCAGTCGTCTCAGAGGCGGGTCGCTGTTGGAGCCACGTCCCTGCAGCTTCCTGCGCGGACACGGGAATCGATGGCTGGAAACAGTGTGATCATCAGCTTTTCAGCCTTGGAGTGTGAGCAGCTGGCCGAGCTCCGTGTGTGGGAGACGAAAGATGGCATCCAATGTTTCGTCAAGACTGACCAGTTACCAGAGTCAGAAAAGTGGTCACGTGACAGACAGGAAGCAGCAGGCATCCTTCTAAGCGAGTTGGTTGAGAATGCTGCTGGTGTGCGGGACACATTCTGGCGACTTGCCGGTGAAAGAAAGGAGCTTTTACAGCTTTTTCACGAGCGTGGTTGGGTGGAGAAGCGACAGGCACATATGCAACCTGTGACACAAAACTCGTTCTTGAGATTTTCGGGCCCCCAAACCCTAAACCCCTACACCCCAAGATTTGTGTGGGTGGGAGTTTAGGGGTTTAGGATTTAGGAGTGATAGCTTGTTCTGGTCTGTTTTGCAGGACTCTGGGCTTTGGGTGATGACACCGGCAGGGAAGACGGCGGTGGATGTCTGCTTCTTTCTTTGCAAGCCCGAGCCAGTGTTGGAAGTTCGAGCAGATGTCCCGCTTCAAGACCTTTCACCGTGGGAGCTGGCTTTGTTGTTGCTTCGCAAGGGATTTCAACATGTGGTGAAAAGACGCTTAAAGAAGGATGCTGACTTTCTGCCAGGTGGTGATGACAAGAAGTGGTATTCCGCACCGAATGCCACAACTGCCTCCAAGGAATACCTGCGGTGCTTGCTGCAGGGTGATCTACAGGTTCCACATTGGAAGTCCAATGGTTTTTACACCGCTTTGCTGGCCGGGGAGCATTATGAACCAAAGCCACGGCCATTAACACTGTTTGTGTGCGATGAGAATGACATGGAAGCTTCTTTGCCCAAGCCAACTCGAGCTAGACGAGTGCAGAAGGCTCCCCGGAAGCGGAAACCACAGTCACCGGCTTCTGCGTCGGAGCATGAATCTGCAGATCATGCTGCTGCATTGGAAGATGAATGTGAACATGCTTCTTCGGATGAGCTACATGAAGTGCCGGAGGGCAGCAGCAGCTCTCGGCCCATGGATGCTGCTGATCCTGGGCATGTGCAGCCTGTGCAGCCGGAGATGCAGCAACCTGCTGCAGAACAGCCTGCGTCATCTAGCTCGTCCTCCTCCTCCGACTCTTCATCTTCTTCCTCAGGTTCAAGCTCGAGCGGTGAGGATGATGATGCTGCAGCGTCTTCTTCCTCAGGTTCAAGATCGCGTGATGAGGATGGTGCAGCAGCTGAACCTAGTGCAGTGCCAAGAGCAGCAGAACCCGTGCGAGCAACCAATGTGAACAACAGCTTTGCCTTTGGCTTGAACCATGTCACCCAGGTCTTCAAGGACGGTGTCTTCGATGGTTTTGAGATGACATGCCACCACCCAGACCATAAGACTGGCAGCCAGAAGTGCCGCAAGCACCTCAAAGCCGTCACGCGCACCAGAACTGAAGCTGAGACATTGCAGATGCTCAAGGTCTGGGGTGCCTGGGGTGCCAAGGTAGCAACACGTGAGCAACATGCCATTATTTGGAAGAAAGTCGTGAAAGCCCAGCAAGATGGCACTTTGCCAGAGACAGTGGATCCAGTCAGGTCGTTCGAGAGAGCCGGGGTGTCGCTGCAAAGAAGCGTGCCCGGCGCTGATGTGCACCCAGATCCGGAGTTTCCTGCTGATTGTGCGCAAAAGCCTCATGTGTGTTGTTATGTGCCTCGCTTATGAGAGTACAGATGGAAAGCATCACAAGCAGCTTTGACAGCAGTGGTTCTTGTGATTTCAGCAGCGAGCCCACTCAGTTGTTGTGGATTGTGCAACCATGATGCTCATTTCAACTCTGAGTGACTGATATGATATGAAAATTATATGAGGCACTTCCTAAGCTCACTAGCAGGTCCCATTTGAGTTTTAAACAGCTAGTTTCATTGATATGACATGAAATATATAGGAGGCCCTTCCTAAGCTCACTAACAGGTCCCATTTTCAAGGCTTATACGCTTCCATGAAGCTGGTCTGTCCCAGGGGCTATGGTGGAGCCAGCTCACTCTGCTGATTGTGCTCAATTTTGCCGAAGATGGATTCTTTTGCTTGGGAATGGAGCCAGAAGGGGCTGTTTTGGCCACTGAGCGGCCTTGCAGCTTGTGATTGGCTAAATGAATATTGAACGAATTTTGAACGAATTTTGAGCGAAGTATTTTGGTATATTTTGTATGTTTTTGATAGATTCCTAGGGTTAAATGAATTATGAACGAATTATGAACGAATTTTGAACGAATTTTGAACGAATTTTGAATGAAATCAAGCCCTACTTGGGGGCCTTGGCAGCCAGCCTTCTGTGCTGACAGATGATTTTTGTTTGCATTCTGGCTGGCATATTGGATTTTTGAGTGATTGCAGCATATTTTTGAGATTTTTGAAGGAAATACAGACCATGGCATGTTTTTTTTGGCATTCTGGCTTGCATACTGGATTTTTGAGTGACAACAGCATATTTTTGAGACTTTTTGAAGGAAATACAAATCATGGCATGGTTTCTTGAGTTTTCCTTTGCTTTGTGTGGCTGTTGTGCTGCACTTGCCTGCTTCACTGGAGACTTTGCAGTGTTGGGCATGTTCCAAGCATGCTTGTTTAGGCCTGTGCTTGGCCCAGGTGGTATCAGCTGTGGATTCTGAGATTTAGTGTTGTAGTGGAGATTTCAGGTCCTCCCAAGTCCTCCAATGAAGCAAATAGGCAACATGGAAACTCTTTGTAATCTTTGCTTTGCACAAACAACTCTGCTGTTGTGAGTGACATGCATGTCCTTAGCAACAACCTAAACTCCTGCTCTAGAGCTGGATGTCTTGTGTAGTGCGGTGAGTCAAGATGCCGCCGAAGTGCAAGGGCAGGGCCAGTGGTGCCAGCTCTGCGAGCAGTGGTCGTGCTCTACAGCGATATGTGCGTGGTAGCTCGTGGGCCATGGATACAGAGACAGGAAGACAGCCAGGGTTCAACAGCCAAGAAGACATGTCCTTTTGGGAAGAGAACTTGCTGAAACCATTTATTGGAACAGACCTGTTTCATTCAGCATGTGAAGTGGTGAAGCCAGGTGTCATGTACTACAGCGACTTCTCTGGCTATGATGCTCCGCGTGAGAGCTTGCGGATCCTGTTGCAATATCTGCAGGTGCAAGGCGGGTCTTTGGGGCAGGATATGTCCTTGCAGTGTGTTCGAAGCTGTGATTGTGGCGGCACACAGCAAGCTGTGTTGAAGCAGCTGTCGTCTGTGCTAGATCACGGTGAGAGTTGTGTGTTTGCAAATATGGACCATCGTCTGCCAGACTGGGCTGCAGAGTTTGTCAATACTTTGGCCCCCACTTTGAGCACAGAAGCACAGGAAGCAAGCCAGAAGAACTCTGATATTCATGCCTTCCTGATGCAGAACAGGCAAACACTACTGGAAGCAGACAGTTGTTCTTCTTGCGCAGTGCACAAGAAAGCCTGTCCAGTGTATCCAGGTTGTTGCTTCAGCAGGCTGGATAGCACATCTTCCGACCTATCCTCTGCGGGGGATGCCCCTACTGCTTGGTGGGAGAAACCAAGCCGGTGGCAGCAGAAGCCCTTGACAGTTTCAGCTGCTGGCTTGTGCTGCACAGACTATAGCAAGTTAGGGAAGCAGAAGCGTGATGCTGGTCCGAGTGAGAGATGGCATCACCTTTGGCACATTGATCGAATGCGTGCCGCGGAGCTTCATGCAGAAGATATGTTTTTCACAGAGTGTGCCCAGGCATATCCGGCGTCCAAGCAGGTCAGTGGCTTGGAAGATCTGTACCATGTGGTGCATATCAAAACGAGCCCCGATCACCTCGGCTTTCCAGTGCGACGGCCTCGGACTTTTACTGCAGGCATTTCCAAAGAGTTCTTTGTGTGGACTGGTCCTCAGACAGATGAAGAAGTCCAGGAGATGTGGAACAATCTTTTTTTGCGAGACTGCTTCTTGACGGGGGATGCATACTTTTGTGCCTCTGATGAGCAGGTGTCTGCATGGCTTGTAGAGCGAGCTGCAAAGAGGAAAAAGACACTGCCAAAGAATTGGCGGTCCCAGACGGTGGAACAGCTGCTGCCAATGGTGCTTCCAGTGGGGGCGGTAAGCCGAAAGCGGAAGTATGATGATTGTTTTGAGTCAGGCAAGGCTCTGAATGGTTCCTTTCTGTGCGACCTAGATCACAACCCTGGCTATGGACCAAAGGCAGGCCCACTGTTTCCAGCTATGGACACACATCCCAACATCTATTCCTATATGCATAGCCGACTAGCTGTGCCGCTTGAGTGTTTTGCAGCACAAGGAGTGGATGTGTTGCCTGCGTTGGCAGGGGCCCGTGGTCTTTCACCACTCGTTCCATTGCTGGAGGGTTTGTCAGATACAGATGCAAGATTCCTGGCCGGCAACTCTTTGCATGTGCCCAGTTATGTTTGCTGCGAGACAGACAAGATGGCCCGGGACATGTACATCAAGCGAGTGCACGTGCACTTGGCGTGCGTGTCGGAGTGGCAGGGGGACACCGTGCCGGAAGAGTACAAGGAAGCTCTGCCAGCCGAGACCCAGGCCACAGAGGCAGAGGCCCAAGAATCCAAGCCAGAGGCCAAGCAGACCCCCGATGGTTTCGTGAAGGATGCATCAGGCCTGATTGCCATGAAGTTTCCGCAATTCCTTCGCTCCAACAAGTACATGACAAGCTTTGTGCAGGGGTCTTTCGAGGGCATCTCGGATGAAAACGTCTTGACGAAGCAGCGGTTGAAGTGGGCACGTATGTTGGCTTGCTTGGTGGAGCTGAAGTTCTCGGGACTTCAGATGTTTGCAGCAACAGCGGTTCTCAGGTTTCAGAACTTCACACTGACAAAATAGCCTTGGATCTTCCAAAAACAAGAGGTCAAGTCAACACTCGTGTGTGTTGATGTGCTCGTGCAGTTTGGTTCAATTTCGGGCCAAGTAAGGAGCGTCCGAGTGCTTTGTTTGCAAAAACCATCGATTTTGTGAGCTTTTGGGTTGTGTTGCAAGGTGTTGAATTCTGTACATAGGAACGCCCCACACCTTTGGTGAGCCCAGGCTACGGTATAGTATTGTATAGCTGTATACTATGTGACCGACGCAGCGCCTTTGGTTCAAGAGTAAAAGCGTGACCGCTCGGGGTTTTACAGTTTAACTTGGTAGCGGAGCAAGGAAGCCTGAAGATCCAGGAAACCTGTGGGCCGAAGGAAACCGGATTGGAACCGGAAGAAGTACACGAGGATACCTGGAAACTGGACAGTAAATCTTGGAATTCGCCATGAAGGTGATCATGGAGAAGATGTACCAGGACCTCTTGCTATTTGTGGTTGGATTCTGTATGAGTATCACGCTGAGCCAAGGAAGCATTCAGGAAACAAGTTGCTTGTGGATGAACACGTCTCACCTTGTTATTCGACCTCAGCCGTTTACCCTCGAAGAGGAAATTTCGGATTGTGTATGGGATCAATTGTATCCCCAAGGATGGGAGAACGATCGGAAGAAGGATCTCTCGTCCCAGCGGCAGGAACTATGGAACTCAAAGACAGTGAGATCTTCCAGGATGAACCTCACCAGAAAGTGTCTCGAGTCACGGAACATGAACCATTGCCTAGAGTGGCAAGGCCTGTACATGAAGATGTCATGGTGGACCGGAATGCAGAGTTGGAAGAAATGCGGCAGAGCGCAGAAGAGAGGCGAGCTACCTTGGTGGAGCAAGCTAACCTCCTGCAGACGCCAGGAAGGAAAGCTGAAAGTACTCCAGCAAAGACTCCAGGTACAACTGGAGGAAAGTCGCGAGAAGAAAAGAAGAAAGAGAAAAAGACTGCCAGGAAAGAAGCCAAGCAAAGCCGTAAAGCCAAGAAGGCTAGGAAGGAACAGGAAGAAGAAGCCACCAGTCCTCAAGGTGTTCGACGTAAGCTGGATGAAGCTATGGAAGTGGCAGGATCGATTGAGAACGTCATGTTGCTTGAGAAAGAGTATAAGAGATTCAGACTTGACGGAAAGTATCAACCCCCCTTCCTTAGTATCTACAGCCGGATGTTGCAGAACAATCAGAAATTCAAGCCCAGATCTTTCTATGATCCCCCAGGAAAGGATCAAGAGACAGAACAACTCGAAGCTCTTAAGGAAGAAGAAGAGAAGAAGTCCGAGGCAGAGTCTCGGAAGAGGAAGTTGGCCGATCTGGAAGAGCAAAAGCGGATCTTGGAAGCTGAGACAAAGGAAAAGCAACGAGCACTGGAGGAAGAAACCAAACGCCTTCGCGCAGTGGAAGAATCGGAGCGTATGGCTAAAGCACTTCAGGAAGCTAACAAGCAGCAAGCAAAGCTCAAGGTACCCGAAGCAGCACTGGACTCGGCGGAAGAATGGTGCCGCAACAAAGCCCTTGAAGTCGTGGACAAGCTACGAGCTCGGAAAGACGAGCAGGTGGAAAACTCTCGTAAGGCCGAGGAGAATTGGCTCCAAGCTTGCAGGAATGTGGAGAAGGCTCAAAGTGGATTCATTGTGGCATCGGAAAGACTGCAAAGTGCCATGGGACAAGCCCTCAACATCGCAGTACGCCACGGAGAAGAAAAGGGTCTACTTTTGTGTGGGCAGTCTGTGCCTCTTTCTATGATGTTAAAAAAAGGATATATTTGGGAATAAAATGGATCCTAAATGTAAAACAAATGGAAACGGCCTTTGGGGGGGTGGATGATCGGAAT